TTATTTAATAGAGAAATTATCTCTATTTTTTTTTTTAAATTTAAACTTAAATTCTTTAACCTATTGAGATTAATTCAAGCTCATAATCATTGAAACATTTATAAAAACAAGCTATAAGGTCATTTGGTAAGAGACTTACATTTTTGTATAAGTAAATCAAATCTTGAAATTAGGCTTTAAACTGTTACATTGAATTCTTTCTATGTGGTGCTTTATCATAGGCCTGGATATGTGCATCTAACAGCCATACAACAAAAGAAAATAAAGGCTGTCTCTTCCCTTTATTCCATCTCTTAACCGAATTTTGTTTATTCAAAGTGATTATCATTTCCTCTCTTTTTTTTTTACTGCATTTTTGGACCCTTTGAACCTTTTCTTAGCAACTTTCTCCTTTCTTTGTCTCTCCTGTTTCAAATTTAATTCTAAGCAAAATCAGCTTATGATTCAACATAACTTCATCTTAGTCGAGTCCTAATTCCCCCAAGTCTTATTCTTTCCCTTAATTTCTGGCAGGAAGCGACCGCCCGGAGTAGTTTAGCTGTTTGGGCATATCTGCAGCCCAACTGTAAAATTATGAAACAAGGTTTCTGCAGCCATCTTGTATGTATTTTTTTTTTTTTTTTTGCTGGAAGATGGAGGTTTTTTTACTTTAAAACTGATGAATAGATTTGAGTATCTGTGCTGCTGCATGCATGTCTTTTTACTTACAGAAATTGTTGTGGGAAATTATAAAAGGGGACTACAGAAGCTTATCTGGTACAAAATATGTCTCAAAAGCATATATGACCAGAGAAAGATCATTAAGCAGCCTTTTGTAAAAACCCACTTTAGTTATTGTTTCATATCTTCTTCTTCTTCTTTTTCTTTTTTTTTTTTTCTTTTTTTTTTAATATATATTCCTAAACCATGAGAGGAGAGATCAACTAATTAAATAAGAGAGAATATTGACAACAGTAGGTTGTAGCAGCCATGCATGAACCCAATCTCTCTGTCAATTATCCAATCTCTGTCTTTGGATGTGTTTTGCAACAGAGAAGTTGTTCTAGACAACATAAGCTAAGCTAAACAAGTTATATATTTAATATATATTTGTTGTCTTCTTGAGGTGATGTAGAAAAGGTGGGCATGAGTTCTTGTACTAATTAAAGTGAATTCCACCAATTAAAGGTGTTGGAGGTCCTAAAAGAAAAAGGGGTTTGCATCTAGGTGTTAGTCTTTTTCTCTGGCTCCTTTGGTGGTACTGTTTTGGTCTTTGGTCCATTCAAACTTGTAAACATATATGCATGAGATTCTTCTATCTCGTGGCAATCAAAGAGAGATGAAAAAGAGGAAAAATAAAACAAGATAGTCTCAATTCTCACATTAAAGTGGAACACAAAAGAGGGAAGTCTCTCTTCAATGGCTTTTTTATAATTCCCCTCTATTCATCTTTTGTTGTTTGGATTGAGAAGCAAAGCAAAGGCTGGTCCTAAAGTAAGTAAGATGTACATGGATTCATGTTGGAGCAATTACCCAGATGAGAAAAAGGCTAAAGGACCTGCAAGTTTGCACCAAGCTTTGGTTCATTTGAGAGACAATCCAAGTTTCTTTTTTCTTTGAATGGAATGGACATGTATTAACTTATGTGTACTTTGAAATTAACTTTATTTTAGATAATTTTAAAACTCATTCTCAAGCTTTTATATCAAATTCAAATTTTTATACCAAACACCTTTACATATGTTTTACAAATATATAAATATGAAATTGAACTATAATAATAAGAAGGGTGTTTGATAAAGCTAAAAAAATACTTATTTTAAAAATATTTTTTTTCATAAATTTAGAATTTTATTTTTAAAAAAATTAAAAATTAACTTTCAAAACAATTTTCAAGCAAATCTTGAAAAAAAAAACCTTAAATGCTTAAATTTTTTAAATTTACTTTAAAAAATAATATTTTAAATTTTGCCAAATGCCGCCCAGATCTGTACATGGTAGGACTCCTTACCCATACACCATATTCAAAAGGCTGATCTTGAGTTGTAACTTGTCATGCCAATCCCAGGCGTTTGAATCATTGCCTGACGGGATTTTGTTTGCCTTTGCAGGGGCATGATACAGAGCATGTAATGTGCTGCGGGTTCCTCTTAAATTAATTTTCTTTTAAAAGAAAAAACTAAAATATATCCGCATAAGATAGAGAACATGAACGTATAATTTTAATATTATGTTCGCACTGAAACAAGGGAAGGAAAAAAAATATCTTTTATTTGGTTAAGAAAATTATAAGAGAGATGAGGTGAGGTGAATGGAAGATACAGTAAAGTTGTGAATTTTTAACCTAACTAATAAGTTTTATTTGTTTTTATTTAATTATTATTATTATTTTGACTTTAAATTATATAATAAAATGTAATTCTTTGTCATCTTTAATTTGTTTTATTCATATGTTATATGACTTAAATTTAAAATTATTTATTTTTATGAAAAAAAATTATTATTAAACTAATTAAGTCATTGTTTTTATTTTATTATTATTATAAATAAAATAATATACTTATTTCTGTATTTTAAAAAATATAATTCATTGGACACGATCTAAAAGAAAATCTAGCTCTTGTTATATAATTCCAAATTCAAAATGCTGAATTACTCTTCCTCTTTGCCTTTCTTTCTTTTTTTTTTTTTACCAAATATATTTATACATTTTGTTATTGAAATTGAAAAAATATGGGAAAAAAAGGAAAACGTGGGGACTTGCTCATCGCTAATTTGAGCTGATTGTGTTGATCGACTGCATCTGTTTTTTACTCATGATGACTGAAATTCACACTTGAACATAATTAAAAAAAGAAAAACTAGTCTTAAGCCCCTATATTTTCTATATTTTCTCACATAAGCCTTCAAAGAAAAAATATAGCAAGTAAGCTAAACAGGATTATCTTTTTAGTTGCATAACAATTTCTTTACATTTAGATGTTGATGTGGTGTGAAAATCAGTTGTTTAACTTTTAATTTTAAGAAATTTAGCTATATATTATAGACATTTAACTGTAAAAAAATTATCACATTAACAATGTAAAAGAATTGTCAAATAAGCAAAAAAATCAAACGATCATTTGACTTGTGTGATAACATGTGATTCTTCTGTTAACACAAAGATTGATTTGCTCAAATTCAAGCATTTAAAGAGCTTGCATGCCACCTTTTTTCTTTGAGAACTTATATGAAAAACGAGAAAAATCTAGGAGTTTAACTTTGAGTTTTTTCAAATCAAATAGACCTATCAATTAAGTCAGATTAAGTGGGTTATAATTAGGTCGGCTTAAATCTTGAGTTTTTTGGATTAGATTATTTCGGGTGTTGAGTTAAAGGAGTTGACTGATGACCTATTCACATAAATCTCAGATTGAGTTAGGTGGACCAAAATTTTTTCATATGTTTCTCTATTTTTAACAAAATTTATTACTAATTAACTATTTAATTAGAAAACTCTATTAAATGCTAATTTTTATTTTATGATTCAATATTCATTCCAATTTAATGATTGTATAGATAGAACTAAAATATATGTTAAATATACAATACTTATACAATATTTAAAATTTATAATTTCGTAAAGATATTAATCTTCATTAAAACAAAAACATGAAGGATTAAAATTTAAAAGACAAATTTAACATATATGTTAATATTTAATGCTTATTCAATATTAAAATTCAAAAAGCAAAAGCAAAATATATCTAAACAAATACAAGAAAAAACTAGATCGGGATTGATTTTTATTAATTAGGAACAAATTATTAACTAAAAACAAACTAACAATTAAGAACTAACCTTAATGTTCTTGCCTTTGTGCTTCTAATGCTGATGAGAGAACCTCAAACATTAAGTTTTGATTTTCAATAGACATTCTTATTTTTTATTGTAATATATATATATATATATATATTTGACAGTGTTGTGTGATATAACTCATTATATGTCATTTAATTTAATTTTTTATGCGAGTACCACAAAAAAGAAAAGAAGAAAAGAATTTGAGATGAAGAAGATGAGAGGAAGAGTGGAGAAAAGAAAAGTTAACGAGAAAGTAGGATTGATGGGAGGTTAAATTTTTCGTATTTTATTTATTTTTATTCTTTGGATTAATAAATTAAAAATTAATTTTTAAATAATTTCATAAAAAATAAATAAATAAATTTAAATAATTTTGAGTGATCTGAACCCATTTATAATCCAATCTATTCA